AAAAAAAAAAAAAAAAGGAAAATAGTTTGGTAGTTCTTCAGAATTTTTGTTTTGAGACAGGATAGGGTTTCACCTTGTCTCCCAGGCTGAAGTGCAGTGGCATCATCAATGTTCACTGCAGCCTCAAACGCATGGGCAAAGAGATCCTCTTGGCTCAGCCTCCCAGGTAGCCAGGATTACAGGTGAGTAGTAACACATCTGGCTATTTTTTCTACTTTTTGTAGAGATGGGGGTCTCGATATGTTGCCCAGTTTTGTCTCAAACTCCTAACCCCAAGTGATCTTCCTGCTTTGGCCTTTCAAAGTGCTAAGATTATAGGTGTGAGCCACTGTACCTGGGCTTTCACAATGTTAAAGAGTTACCAACTGACCCAGTAATTCATCCCTAGGTATACCCATGAGAAATTAAAACATATTCACACAAAAACTTGTGCACAGAGTGGTGCCTGTGACTCATTGGGTAGGGCGCTGGCCCCATATACCAAGGGTGGCGAGTTCAAAGCCGGCCCCAGCTAAACTGCAACAAAAAATAGCCAGGTGTTGTGGTGGGTGCCTGTAGTCCCAACTAGTCAGGAGGCTGAGGCAAGAGAATTGCCTAAGCCCAAGATTTGGAGGTTGCTGTGAGCTGTAACACCACAGCACTCTACTGGGGGTGACAAAATGAGAACTGTCTCTAAAACAAACACAAACAAACAAAAAAAATTGTGCACATTTATAGCAGCATTATTCATAGTAGCCAAAAAAGGATATCCTAATGTTCTTTAATTGATGAATGGATAGACAAAATGCAGTGAATCCACATAATGGAATATTAATTCAACCATAAAAAGGAAAAACTCTGACTCAGGCTATAGCATGGATGAACCTTGAAAACACCATGCTAATTGGAAGCAGCCAGGCACCAAGGAACACATGTTTGATTCCATTCATACAGAAGTCCAAAGTAGGTAAATCTACAAAGGCAGCAAGTATAAGACATCAATAGTGCCAAAGGGTAGCAAGGGAGAGGAATGAGGAGACTGACAACAGACACAGGATTTCTTCTAGGGGCAATAAAAATGTTAAGGAGTTGACCACACCAGCTTTGGAGACTAAGGGAAGACTGACTTTCTTCTGAGTGGATTGGGAAGCCTCTGGAGTCTAGTACTCAGCCTGATGTTACAGAGCTCTGTGACTGCTGAGGGGGCACCAAGGAGACACCTGTGGCCTGGAAGCAGCAGAGCAGCCCTGGGTGGGGCCACAGACAAGTCTCCCCTGCCTGACTTCGCCAGGGTGAGCCCGGTACAATGCCCACTTGGGAAGGACACCTAGGAGCTCTAAGTGGGGGCTGAAGATCTCTGCCCAGCCTCAGAGAAAGTGACCAGAGGTTCCAATCCTGGGAATAAATGGGCTGAAGACAGGCAAGTTAATGACAAGACTGTTTGTCACAGTGGAGTCCCCAAATCCTCCCTTTCCCACTATACCCTGACAATACCAGACACAGACAACATATCCCACCCCCACCCCCAAAGTTTGTGCTTCCCTTAGAGAAGCCCCAGAGAGAAACTCTCTAGGTCAGTGGGTTTTTTTTTTTTTTTTGAGACAGAACCTCAAGCTGTCCTCCTGGGTAGAGTGCTATGGCATCACAGCTTATAGCAACCTCCAACTCCTGGGCTCAAGCAAGTCTCCTGCCTCCACCTCCCAAGTAGCTGGGACCACAGGCGCCCGCCACAATGCCTAGCTATTTTTTTCGGTTGCAGCCATCATTGTTGTTTGGCGGGCCTGGGCTGGATTCGAACCTGCCACCTTAGGTGTATGTGGCTGGCGCCTTAGCCACTTGAGCCACAGGCACCCAGCCATCAGTGGGTTTCTAATTCCACATCCCAAACCACAGGCTGAGAACACTGCTCTAGGTGCAAACCCTGGGGATAGTCAAGAAGCCCCCCTGCTGCCAGAGCTCCCATGGAAAGATAAGCCCCCTACAGAGGCGGTGGAGCCAAAGGGGTGGGGTATGGGGGAGGGCACCCTCCTCAGGACTTCCCAGAGCACATACCATCCAGGAACACTTCACTGAAAGGAACTGGCTCTCTGAGATGATTCTAGTAACATTCCTTGGTTTCTCTAGGTAGAGCAGTTCTGATTCCCTTTCTGACACTGAGGCACTGTCTTCCTGTGACTAGAGGTCTCTTCAGCTGTGGCACCGTCTCTCACATGGCCCTGGTGTTGCCAAAAAGCTACCCTTTGCTTTTTTCTCTCCTCCAGAATGGACACAGGTCTTCCCAGTTCCTTTCAGGGGTCTTGGCATAAAACACTGCTGCTCTCTGTCCCAACCTGTTGGTGCCCACACCCGGGGCTCTTGTTCTCCATGGCTGCCAGCTAGACTCTGCCCCGCTCCTCATGAGCACCTTACCTGGACCAGCTCAACTTCAAGGAAGCTGGGCAAGTTGCTCTTTTCTGCTCCATTCAAGCCCACACCAAGGTCGTAGCCTTGGCTGGCCTCTATGCCCTGTACCCTGGGCATCTGGCTCCAGGGTTCTAGCCCCTTTGCCTTTTCAGACCTAGCAGTAAAGATGGTATTGTGTGGTTTCTTAATGCTTCAGCTCCCATCAGGCCCCAATCCCTAGCCATGGTGTTTATTTTCTTTCTGGCACCATTTTTGGAACAATACCATGCAGCAGTGTGCAGAGCCCTTTAAGAGCATGCTCTCAGAGCCAGGTAGGGTCTGCACTTGCCCCTTCACAGAGCCCAAGGTCTGGGGCCACTTGGGCTGGGTCTACCCAAAGCTTTCCTCCCAGGCTGATGCAACTGGGCTCCCACTCCTTACCAGCAAGCAATGCCTTGGCTGGCAGAGGAACTATCCAGTAATTAGACCAGAGCAGTCACTTCCGAGGAAGAGGCGTGAGGGAGTGCCAAGCTCTGCAGGCAGAGGCCTCTTGCCCTATATCCTGGGGCCTCACATGGACAGTGGGCCAGGAGCTCAAACAACAGATAAAACAGATATTTGTTTATTTCCCAGGAAGGAGGCAGAATAGGGTATGTGGGGAGTCCCTGTTTCAGCCTGCATGCCCCAGCAGGTAGACCTTACTTCCAGAAGAGCACGTTCCAAAAGAGCAGCCAGCAAGGATAGAGGCCCAGGGCCAACAGTGGAAAGAGCAGGGCACCATAGGTGTGATGATCCAGGACACCCTGGGCCAGTGCCGACAGGAAGAGCTGCCAACCCTCAGCCAGGGACAGAGGTGCCTCCTGCAGCTCCTGCCACAGGAACAGACTGCCCAAGAGTGTGGCTGCTGGACTTGTCAGTACTAGCAGGGCAGCATAGAGGGGCCTGGGTGGAAGAGTAACATCAGTCAGGACTAGCAGGGCAGCCTCCATTGTGGAAGCATGGACACCAAGTGGGGTAGAAGGGGTGTTGAATGAGGCAGATTCTGTGTAAGGGGCACAGGTACTGGGTAAGTAGGGACTGAACAGCACATACCGTGGCCCATGAGGCTCTGTGAGTGCAGCAGCAGGCACCATGGTGGCAGCCAGCAGGAAGCCCAGTGAAAAGTTGGTAAGAGCAATGCAGCCCAGCTGTAGTGCTAGGTAAATCAGGGCCACCAGCTTCAGTGCCATCCAGCCTCTGTCTGGGGCCTGTGTGCTCACCACCCTGCAAGGCAAGGGACTCACAGGCAACCCAGGGGCTGCATGTATGTCCAGGAGACCCCTACTCCCACTTGCCCAGCCCAGACTCTCACCGGTGGGTATTATGGGGAAGGGCCAGGCCAGCCACATAAATTGCCAGCAGTGTCAGCACCACAGCCTCAGACTCAGCCACTGGGAAGTGCTGGGTGGCCACGTGTTGGCACAGCACTGGCAGGATGTAGAGGGCCAGTCCCATGGCCTGAGAGACCAGCAGGGGTGCCACAAGTGTGGCCAGCCCCATACCCTGCAGGGTACACAGACAGCTGGACAGAGGCCCTGGGGCCAGGGGACCCCCACCCACCCACTCACTAGCTGAGGCTAAGCACCATTCCAGACCCCAGAATCCCACCCCAAGAACCAAAGGGCCATTATCACCTGTCCTGGGGGGAGGGGCACATTAGGTCCAGGCCCTCCCCCAGCCTCAAGACCCACTCCAGCCTCATGTAGTTGCATCCACAGTTCCAAAGCGTGGCCCAGTCAAGGACCCCAACAACAGGTAAGATGGGATCTTCCCAGATGGGTTCAGCCCAATTCCCCCACCCTCAGAGTATGATGGAAGATCTTCCCAACCTAGAAGGATCCAAGACTAATCACAAGTAGATAGCCAAGGAGGATATCTTCAGACCAAGGACCAGGAGCAAGAAGCCAGCAGCGGGCATGTAGAGGCCGATGGAGACGAAGCGGGATAGAGCAGGGAGTAGGTAGAGGAAGAAGGACTGGTGCAGGCGCTCCAAGAGGTGGTTGAGCTTCCGGAACATGCCCTCCAAAGCCCTGTTGGGTGTGGGTTGGAGTCAAAGCCAACCAGATCCCCTAAGTCAATTCCAATCTCCCAGCAATGAATGTTGACGTGAGTATGGAAAGAGAAGCCCAGAGACCACTTACTTGCCCACGGCCACGAGGTCATACTTGTACTGGCGGAAGCTATTGATGCCACGCAAGGTTAGAGCCTCCACACGGTAGCGCAGGAAGAGGCCATGGGGGCCATGGGGGCGGCCAGAAGCCTGTCGAAGAACCATGAGCAGCAGTGTTTGCAGGCCCTGGAGCGGCCCATCCAGTGATGTCCAGTCCTGGGGCTGTAGCTTTAGACGTTGGTAGAAAATCAGATAATGTCACCCATATAGGCCCAGTGCCCCTCAGGCAGGCAGTCCCACCTTGCCCTGCAACGTGCACAGCAAACCCCCTTTTTGGCAGAAGGTCTGGAAGAGGTTGAGCAGATCAAGGTTGGGCAACTGCCCGTTGAGCCCCTCCACAGCCACATCTAGGCTGGTGACCACATCACTGCTCAGCTCCAGGGCCACAGCAGCCTGAATAGCCCCAGCCCAGCCCTGAAGGGGAGAAGACTGCATGCCTGTAAAGGAAGTAAAACACCAATGGTAGGGGACCAGCGAGGACAGTGACCGTGAGAGAGGAACAAAGGCAGGACATGAGCACTTACCAGTGACATTGACATCGTGGTAGGCTTCAAGCCAAGCCTCAGTGCCCAGAAGGTCATGTTCTGTCACTAGGAAGATGATATCTTTGGCCCAGTAAATCTGCCCTGGAGACCAGAGCAGGATTAGTAGGCCTGGGACACTGGCCAAACCCTCCTCAGCCAGCAGCCCCTGAACCTCCTCACCCCGGAAGTGGGCAGCCAGTGCCAGCAGCAGCCCCACAGCCTGGTTGTTGGCAGAGTCCAAGCCACAGGGCACAGTGAGCACGAGGGACTCGGTGCTGGCAGCACGGGGGGCTCGCAGGACGCCATACACGTTGGTGCCTGACACCATCTGCAGGTAGTATTGGTGGGAGGGAGCCTCAGCAAAATCCTACCACGCAGGGCTGGTATCCCACCCCCAGCCCCATTTTCCTGGCACTACGAGACGAGGGAGTTCCCTAGCCCAGATCATCCCTCCTATTGAATTTCCCGCCTCAACACCCTCCAACATGATTCCAACCCAGACTACCCCTCCAAGGATCTTTTTGGCCCCAAATACACTCCCTCTTCCAATACATAGCGCTCATGCGTTTCATCTGGGAAAGGCAGTTTCCGGGAGAAATTCTGCGTGTAGACCTCCAGCCCTACTGACTGCATCGTCCGCTCCAGCCAGGCCACTGGCAGAGCCCTGGAGACACAACGAGAGCTGCTGAGCAGAGCTCCCTGGCCTCGGCCACAATTGCTTCCCCCATACCCACTGCCCCGCCGCTCACCCCGACTTCCTGCGGTGGGCTGCGAAGTCCCGAGCAAAATTTCGGGCGCGGTCTCCACCTGCAAACTGCTCCTCCACCATAGTGGAACCCATAGCATTCTCCGACATGTAAGTGCGCTGGGTCAGCGGCGGGAAAGCCAGAGCAGAGAACCAGGCGATGCCCGCCACGTAGCTCAGCATGCTGTGAGAGAAAAGAGGGAGGGCACCCGGAGCGTCAGCTGGAAAAGGGACGCCGGCCGCTGGCCTCAACCTGCACCAAGGGTCGAAGGGGCGTGTCTGACGGGTTTAGACCCCAGAATCTGAGCAGCGGGACGCCGGATGGAGGAGCTGAGCCCTAGGGCCAACTCGCACTGGACCGATGCCGGCGGTGGGAGTGGGGCAGGCGGAGGGCCCCGGCCCTGCGAGTGGGCATCCGCGTGCCGGGCTGCAGCTCGAGCCCGAGACCCTCGGGGCCCCACCCCCACGGGCTCCGCCTCACCAGAGCGGCGCGTTGAGGCGCAGCACCAGGCGGGCGAGCGCGCGCCGGCGCACCGGGTCCGACAGAAGGCCCATGGCGGCCTCGGGAGCCCTCTCCCGCCGCCAGCAACGGGACGTTGCTGTCGGACCCGGGGACCAGCGCTTGCCCGCACTTCCGGTCCCAGGGACCCTTGCGCCGGCGCGCACGCCCAGAGCGGCGGCTGGCTGGGAGTGGCGCAGGTGGGCGGTGCTGGTGTGCCCGGTAGGCCTGGGGACCGGGTTTACGAGTCCGCTGGGCGCAGCTCCCGGGGGTCCGGCTGGCCACGTACAATTTCGGAGGGAGGCCCCACAGCCAGATAAGCAGAGCAGTAAAGTCTTGGGGGCAGCCAGAAAGCGTCAGCTGCAAGGCTGAAAGAGTCAGAGGTGATGGGCAGGTGGGTGGAATGCAGGTGATCGGAGTGCGGATGCCAAGCAAGACTGAATGAGGAGCGGGTGAGAAGTAAAGGGCCTTCTGTTAAGTGAGAGGCTCAGAATCATTCCTATGGATGTCATTCACCGAAAATGACAATGAGTGTCCAAGTGGAGTCACTGTGTGAGCCCAGCATGAAGGTTATCAACATCAGAAGATGGCTCCGCGCCGGCGGCATACACTGAGACTGGCGGGTTCGAATCCAGCCAGGGCCTGCCAAACAACAATGACGGCTGCAACCAAAAAATAGCCGGGCACCCGTTGTGGCGGGCACCCGTAATCCCAGCTACTAGGG